TTTATAGGGTACTAAATATACCCTGTAATAATTAATAGAGTACACAGTTTTACATTATTTCGCAGGTGCATTCTTATTGTAAAACATTGTATAGGATTACACATCTCTGTGTGTATATGTTACCTGATCCATAGAGGTACTGTAGTTGACTTGTAGGACAGTTCGTTTCTCTCTGCTCGAGCCAGTGATCGCTATCCTGGGGGGTAGGTTGTTCATTACAGTCGTCCAAACTTTGTCTTCTACAAATACACAGATGCAAAAAACATAACTAATCAAATGGTCAATAGCTTAATTTTGGTAAAATTTTAATTTGTTTAGCAACAAAATATTAAATCATCTGCAATTAAAACAAACCATAATTGTAATTCAAACTGGTTTGTTTATATTTGCTTATTCCTACATCCATCCATGCAGACAAGCTTTCAACTTGCAGCTATGTGAGTTAAGACCTGTTGTAGACACTTACATGGCATTACGGTCTGAATCAGTCACTCTAATATTTTCCTGTTCATTTACAGTGCCATTCAGGAAATGTATGAGTATGAGCTTCAGGTCTCTCAAGGGAGTGAATTTTAGTGAGAAAGAAAAACTCCTTAACATTTTAACTTTTCTGGGGTGTGTGTCAGTGTGCTATTCGGCGTGACTAAGGGGCCAACCGGTGGGGTGCAGTGACATTTCATCAAAAGCCCTGCCTTTGCTCTGCCTTCATGCTCTGCTGTTCAGTACTATCTCTGCATTCAGCCTTGCGTGTGCATGTGCTCATGAAAGTGTGCAGGTGGTTGGCAGTGTGCCAAAAGTGTCACTTGGAATGTTTGAGAATTTTATATTCATGTATGTTTTTGATATCTCTGTTGATGTACATGTGTTTATGAGCATGTGTCTATAATGCTCCTGAAACGCTGAAGCATGTGTGGTTTTGTTGCCATGGAAACCCCAACCCGGTAACTTAAAACGGTTGCTGTCTTAGGTTAAGCGAGAGCAAGGGGCCACAGTTTTCCTCTTTCACAGGTCAGTGGGGCTAAAAAAAAAAAAAAAAGAGAGCAGGAAAACACAAGAAATCCTAGAGTAATGTTTGAATGCATTACCATACCCACCTGTCATATTGCAGATGACTTTGAAAGGGCCAAGAGGTCCGCTACCATCGGGGTCAATCCAGTAGGTGTCAGATGACCTACCCAGGTGCTTATAAGCCTCACATGAGGGCTCATGGAGAGCTGCAGCAGAAGAGCAAAATGATAAAAAAAATACAAGCTCTAAAAGTAAGTCAATCTGAAGCCCCTAATGAGCTGCAAAATTCACCATAACATATATTTTTTGATATAAACAGGACAATTAAAAGCATTCCAATAATTCATGTTGAGACAAACTGCCTATAGACAGTATAAACACTATGTAATAATGGCCCCTTAACAGCACAGCTGCTGAAATCATCAGATAAAGAGAAAGCTTTGACAGTTATTCAGTGTTCCAATTTTTCTGCAAATCCACAAGCAATGAGAAATAAATTTCCACTGTCAGTATCCATCACTGCCCATCTATTATTAAAATGTGACACATGTCAATATCCGTTATTTCTATAGTGGTGGAAAGAAGAATTGTTGTATCTAAAGTATAAAATTGCTGTTGTTTTCTCCTCCTGTAGAAAAAAGGTAATTGATGTCATTGCTACTCTAACTATCCTTGCTTTTCTCTTTTTGCCTGTCAAGAACTAGTGTGTTGTCCTACTTACTAACAACCTGTTTGACATAAAACTGTTGCAAGGCTTGTGTTGAGCTTCACTGAGCAAGGCTATAGTAGCATCACATCGCAATACAGAGGGAAAGAAAATCACTTTGAAAAAAGTCAAACTTTTTTTGATTCATATTGAATGCTCAGGAATTTAACGAGAAGTTGTTTAAAGGGTTGCCTTCTGTTAGCTTGGCATGTCTGCTTTTTATTGGGTCTTCTCATGTGCACAGTCTGATTTTTCCTTTTTTCTCCTCATTTATTTGGTTTTTTTGACTACTGGATTATTGATGTTTTTGTCTTCAAATTGTCTTCAATTTTTGCTGGCATTTAGGAAAGATTATCCTTATTTTTCTAGAAGAATTAGTTGTCTGCAACTAGCACCACAGGAGAAGAAATGTTTAAAACATTTGATGACGGCAGCAATGACAATGAGGATGTATTATCACAGTCTCTGCTCCCTGTAATTGGGTGTAGTGTTTAAGATTATGTTAGTGTGGTACCAAAACAATTAGTTACCGCTAAGTACCGACCAAGGTTACCAGGTAGCATATTGATTCTAGTGCTACCCATCCCTACCCTCATTAAATATTCTGCTTAATTGAAAATAACCTAAATATTCAGATCCAATCACTGCATTTTTTTTTATATCATCCTGAGTTTCAATATTGCTTTTTCAGTCCTCTGCAGAGATTTTTAGACATGATTTTACAACATACCATATTGATTAGTACTGTGCCATGCTATCTAATTATCCTAGCTAGAATGTAGTTTCACAACAGTTATTACACAATTATGCTGCGAGAATGTTAACAATGAGCTGAAGGGGAGCCAATGTCACACAGTTTTTAAATGTCTGAAAAGGCTACCTGTGCGATTTTGAATCACCTCTAAGGGTTTCTTTATTTGTTTTATAGGGTGTAAGAGGTTTAAAGCCGGGTTCACACCATGTGATTATTGTCTGCCTTATTAAAAAGGCTCTGGCATTAAAACAATACCTTCTTATGATAACCTGAAGTAGATATAGAGCAGTTCGGAGATCGTAAAAGAGAAAAATATTTTTTTTCTGCCCTTGCTTTGAGCTTCTGCTTCCTCCCTTTTTGCTTCTCCGTTTTACCATGTTTTCAGGTTTCAACTCAAAAATCAATAACATGAATATCTGTAACTTGTCCATTAATTGCTGAACTAATATCAAAGCAGTCTGATCTAATTGTTTTGCAGTATGAGTTATTCACTCTGGTATCTACCATGCAGTATTACAAGTGAAAAAAAAAAAGGCTGTTCAAGCTTGCAGTGTGATATGTTTACAATGCTAAACAATTTCTGATATTTCAAAATATGTGCCAGCCTATTTATCTGATTCGCTGTTACCTTAGAACAGGCATGCCCAAAGTCTGTCCTCGAGGGTTGCTGTCCTGCAGATATCCCTGCTATAACACAGCTGATTTTAATTGATAGCTGATCAACATGCTTTTGCTGAACTATAAACATTACTGGAGCAGGGAGACCTCTGAAACCTGTAGGACAGTGGGCCTCAAGGGCCAACTTTGGGCAAGCCTGCCTTAGAAGGCTTTCACACCTATCAGGTATCTTAAGCGGGATATTTTATGTTTATACATAATTATCAATACTTCCACAAGTCTACAGAACACACTCTTCTACTGTAGGAGGTATCTCAAGTAATCAAGCACACACATATTATATATATATATATATATATATATATATATATATATAGAGAGAGAGAGAGAGAGAGAGAGAGAGAGAGTATTTTCTGTTTACTTGATAACTTATGAGCAATATAGTAACTAAATAAAATAAATCTGACTGCATTAAAATGTGAAACCTGCTGCTATAACTGGGAACCAACTTTGTTTTTCCTAAAATAATATGACTCCTCGACCTCTGCCATCTTCCCTGATTAAAAGTCTTTCTTGCTTCAGGACAGCTGTGACATTTTTAAAGCAACGTGCTGTTTCACAGTAACAAATGAAACACCTACAACCATCTCTAGATAACAGGAAAATGTTTGGAATCGCATGCCTAAGCTATTTATTTGAGCTTCTGCAAATACCTTACTTACTAAAACCAAATGTAGTTTAACATTTTTCAGCTTTACACAGACATTAATCTGCTTTGCTGTTTATTTTACAATGTAAAGGTTTATATATAGTTAAAGTGAAAATTAGTAATATATAGAATATGACTGGTATATTAAATGCTATGCTTTAGTTTTTAACCTATCGAAGAGACACTCTGAATTGAATACATGCAGTGTAATAAGGTGCAGATGAAAAGCTTACAACGACTAACATTTTATCACCATATATCTCTTCTTTTTGTATTTTATTCAGATTTTAATATTGTCATGTTTGCTCAGATTCCAGTCCTGGAACATGTAGAAGATTGCCATTTCCCTATCCAAACTTATCAGACTTTCTTTGTACTCTGTTGTTTTTGCTCAAATGGATGCTCAACTTTTCTCTCTTGCCCTTTAAAAGAGAACAACATCTGTGGCTTATGGGAGAAAGAATGACATTTTCAAAACTTAAAGCCTCTGAAAAGCTCCTTCTGACGCTGCTTGCTTTGTGTGCTGCTGAATTGTGAGTCTGATTCATTTTTTCTCTGATGGGAACAAAATGCAGTGCAGTTGGACAAGCTTGGCATCAGCACACTTCAAAAGTTCATCTGTCTCTGTGCTGAGGACTTGGAGACAGCTTAATCACTCAAAGTTAAATGGTGACATTGTATAAACACATGTCAGGGAGAAAAGGAAAGACAAGAGCGGCAGAAATAAACAGATATCTAACTATGTATTACTTACATGTGTGACAGGTCGCTCCACTGTATCCTGTTCCATCACATTTACAACTGAAACTGTCCCACGTCTGCTTACACCGGCCTCCATGCTCACAGTGATTAGGCATACACCTGCAGAGATTTAGACAGACTCAATGAGTATTTAAACAACATTCTGGCTTGAAAATATTTATTTTATAAATCAGATGCATGTATACATTCACAACCTGCGTGTCGACAAACCATATACTAATCCCATCACACATGGTGCATACATCATATTTTTAAAGTTTATAAATGAATGTTAAAACATTCATGTAGTTGCAAAGAGGCACCTTCTGTAATGGAAAACACCTTTCCCTAAAAAAGCCAAATAACAGAGTACTTTTTATTTGCTTTTGCATCAGTGTGGTAGATTTGCCCATTTTAATATTCTGAAATTGTTTCAATGAATTGTTTATAAAAGAGCTTATCTTTTATTTATATGTAAAACTCAATTTATTATGTTAGCAGAAAGTTTGACTATGTAAAGTTACATTTTAAATCTATGTAAGACATCAACACCAAAAATCACTTTACATTAAAAAAAGTTTAAATTTCGGGATTTCACAAACCCAAGCCTTTTCAAAACACAATAGCTAAGTATTCACAACTTTTGCACTTTTTCACCATGTCTCTGAAAAAGTACTGAAACTTAGGTGAATTTGATGAAGATAACCTGGACATCAGACTTTAAATCTTAAGGCTTCCACATACTTGAGCATAATGTGAGCATAATGTGAGCTGTGCAAAGTCCGTGCTTTACCTAGAGCTAAAAGTGGTATCTATGCTATTTTTGAAACTGCCATACCAATTTTAAAAGTACCCTAGCCTAAACTGAATTCACTCCATAGTCCTAAACCTAACCCAAACCCAAATGAAGAAAACTGTTGAATTTCCCCATTTAGACCTGTAAGTCCTCACAATTGCGGATATTTGAAAATATACTGCCCCGAATTGTAGCTCAAACACACACACAAATATACACTATATATAAGTATAGATTTTTTTTCCTGTCAGAAAGTCTGAGTGAAAATATAAACCAACTTTATCTAAAAATGTCGTTGTTTAATTTGCTTGCTGTGGATAGATGTAGGAACACTTCTACAAACCTTCCTAAGCACAGAGTATGTAATGAGGCCTTTCATTTTTAAATGAATCAAAGTAATGAGAGAATGAGGAAAGCCAGCTAAAGCCCAACAAACACTGGCTCATAAGCACAGCAGGGTTCTTTTGAAAATGCCACATTCTGCAGCCAAGTTGGAAATCCAGCAGTTTAATATCTCGTAGTCCTTCTATCTTTGTGGCTAGACAAGATGGCAACTGTAGAGATACCGCCTGTAATGATGAAGCTGAGATACCACGTTGATTTTTTTTGTCCACATGGCTATATACAACAATAAACCTTTAAGAGCCTCTAAGCAGCAGAAAACAACCACAGCGACCCTGCTTTACACAACTCAGTACAGCTTCAGCAGACAAAGACGCTGAGATAAAATGTCATTGTGCTTGCACAATGGGTTGAAATTGACAAGTCCTGACAATTTCAAAAGACATTATTCTTAGCGGGCTGGGAGCACTGAACCATACCAACTACTCTGGGCTTTGTGTGAGAGGAAAGAAAATCTATGGGGAGATTGGAGCTGATGTAGGATTTGTGTTCAGTTTTTTTTTTTTGTCCTACTGCTTGTGTTGTTGTATCACCCTTTTAGAATAACATTGATATTACGGAAAATTTTGTGTGCATTGCCTAGTGTGTCTACAGGATGTAGAATTTAGTTGGTGCAAGTGCTTTTATATTTTTGTAACATCTCAGCCTAAACTGAATCCCACAGTGGAAAGACATTGATCAAAAGGAGGTCAGACAGGCCCATTGAACTGCCTTCAAAGACATTCTGATTAGTTAGATGGTAACACTGTGCCCATTTATCTTCTATGGCAGAACAAGGCCCACCTGATGTACTGCTGTGCTGATATAGTGCGGCTAAAAAGTATTCAGTCAGCCTCTGATTGTGCAAGGTCTCCTGCTTAAAGAGATGACAGAGGTCTGCAGTTTTTATCATATCATTCAACAGTGAGAGACTTAATGAGACAAAAAAATCAGAAAATCACATTGTAGGATTCATTAATTCATACATACATTCTTTTCTATTCTATGATTGTAAAAAAAAAATACAGATTTTGTTCACTCACAAACAAGCATCACAGTAACATCTTATTTAAGAAGCTCATCTGTCCTCCACTCATAACCTACAGTATTTTAGTGGCACCTGTTTGAAATCTTTATATATATACAAAAGACACCTGTTCACAGCTCTAACAGTTAGACTCAAAACTCAACCCTGGCCAAAACCAAAGTGCTGTTGAAGGACGACAAGAAGATTGTAGATCTGCACCAGGCTGTGAAGAATGGATCTACAATAGGAAAGCACAATGGTGTGAAAAAAAATTAACTGTGAGAACAATTGGCCCCATGCAAGATTTTATCCTGTAGGGTCAGAATTATGATAATGGTGACCAAAATCCCAGAACTACATAGAGAGACCTGGGGAATGGCCCTCAGAGAGTTGGGATCAAAGGAAAAAAGGCTAACATTAAGAAGACACTACGTCCAGAGGAACTTAAATCCTGTAGTGCCAGGCTTGTCCCCCTGCTGAAGTTCATATCCCGACCTGTCTGAATAATTAATGATCCAGAAGAAGATATAGAAAATAATATGCAGTCAGATTAAACTAAAATTTAACTTTTTGGCACAAACTTGACTTGTCATATTTGGAGGAAGAAGATTGCAGAGTTGCATCCCATGATCACCATACTTACATCCTGCTTTGGGGCTGTTTTGAACTGAAGCCTTGAAGATAAGACATGGCATGACAATGGTTCCAAATGCACAGCAACAAAGGATTTGCTTTGTTAAAAGCCTTGCAAGATTCCGGAGTGGCCTTCCTGGTGGACCACAGTATGTGTAAACCTGGTGAAGACTTACAGGAAGAATTTTACCTCTCTCCTTGCCTACAAAGGTTATGCTGAGAGCTGGGTTGAACTTTTGTTATTGACCATAGTTGAAGTGAAGTGAACTTCAGTATGATAAAAAATACAGACCTCTCTCTTGACCACTAAGTATTTTTGTCCAAATCTACCCAACACTACACAACACAACACACAAAGTGTGATGATAGAAATCTGGCTATTTTACAGATATTATAAGAGTTTTCAGAAAAATAAAAAATGCCTGTTTTAAGCACCTAGGAGAAGCACAGCAGCAATGTAATCTGGAAAATAGGTATTATTTATACCACAAATACAATAAAAGTATTAAAGCATACCCAATACTGGTCTATCTCTGAAATGGGTTCATTAGGGGGACAAGAACATCTCGCCTGTTCACGCCGGCCAAGAATTGCAGAGGCTTTCAGAGGCATAGACCAGTATCGGGTATTGCAGGCTAACAAAGAACCCAAACGACTACTCATTCCTAAGGGGCGGACCCATTCTTCAGGTTCAATTTGCGAGTTTTCTAAGCCAAAACAAGGCTTTTTTTTGGTCCACTCTATAAAGCCTCGAACTGAACGCTAACTCCGACATTTTGAATTGAAAAAGCTACTTGGATGGGAAGTGAAACGTCTCCAAACTTGGACACAAAGTCTAGTGGAATTTTTATTATCGTTTTTGGAATGACTATGATCTGGATGACGGAGAATCTTCACCAGCAAATTTCAGTGTCAGAAATGTCAACAGCTCTGATAAAACCGGTATAAACCAAATTCCTCCACACATATTGCCAAGACTCACTCCCAGTCATTACAAATGTATAATGGCAGCTGTTTCTGTTCTGTGCACAACATGCATGAATCAAGCACACACCATAATGTTTTTATCTAATACATAAATAGTCCAATATGTTTGCCTGTTATGTGAAAAAGAAATAAACTGAAATGTCAACTGCTTCTTATTAGAGCTGCCAGTAAAACGACTTTGGAAAATGTCACATACATCTACAGCTTTTGCCAAGTTGCACTCCCCAATTAGATAGGGAGCTATGCAGCTCATTGTTGATGCCTGATTAAGATCCTACAGCCGTTTTTCAAAAAGTAAGAAGTGAGGTGTATCTTAAAATGAAAGCACGTAACATTTGCCACATTCCTTTACTATGTGAAGCCACCCTATAAATTATATCCATTTATCAGCGTGACAAGCGCATTGAGATGAGCCACACAAACATAATTCAACTGAGGTTGCAGAGACAACAAAGAGGGCCCTGATTAATATGTCTCAGGATCAAAATTTAAGGGTTTTATATTACCGTCTTGTTTACTTTGCAACTTCCATTTGAAACCTTCTGATTTATGACACTATTGTTCCTTTTGCTCTCTTTCATTTGCCAATTTTCTTTAATGAACTGTAAGGTGTGTTTTCATGTGTGGATGTGTGTGTTTGTGTGTTGCTGTTGTAGGTGGCAATGACAGGCATACCTGTCTATGATTGCACACATGTCCAGGCTGATATTCTCGAATGCCCCCACTGTGCCTTTTTCCACTGCATGCAAATCAGCAGGATGATCGTCCACCAGAATTGCTTGCATGCATCCCTGAAAGGATCGCTGGGATGGTGGAAACAGTGTTTGCAGAAAGTACCCTTGAACCAACAAAAGAGAAAAACAATTTAGATGCATAATAAAATGTTGTAAACATATTTTTAAGTGTTTCCAAATAATTATTTGAAAGACATTAAAAAGAAACTGAACCCTGAAAAGCATATGTGAATTTAAAGTGTGTGGGAGGAACAAGGATTTATATATATTTTTTTACTTCAAACAGTTCATGAAAAGAACACCTTCAGTGGAGGTGAACATAAAATACACAAAAAACATCATCCTTGAAGAGGAACAACGGATCACGTTAGTGGCCATTTAATGTCACTTTTTTACAACCATGAACCTTTGTCAGGATTCCTTTTTTAGACATTACACACAGGGTCTATCAGGAATTAATGGTCCATCCAAAAGGACCACTTGGCCTTGACTGAATCCCAAACAAGCCTTGCACAAATAAAGACTTAAACTTTTTAAATTGGATGTGATAATGCACTTACACAACAGTGTGCAAAATGTATGCGTCATATCTAGCATTAAAGCAACACATGTGAGCACATTTCCATAGAGAATAATAGAGTGCCTCCTTAGAGCAGAGGCGGGGTGTTAAATTGGAGATGAGAACCTAAAACTAAATCTCTGCTACAAGCACAGAGGTAAGTCATAAAACAGAGCAGCTCAATGACATCTCCATCATTGTGATGTTATAAGCTGTCATACTCTCCAGCTTGGCCATCAGCCTCAAGGCCAAAGCATCAAAAAGGCATGCTGTTAGAGGTGTGTGCAATGTGTGTGTGTAGCCTGATATCATTGAAGCTTATGTGGCTGACTTAACAACAGTTAATTCACCGTGATTGAGTGCATGTTTTTGCTGGGTTCAGCCTTTGCTCCACATCTTTAGTTTTTTTATTTCATGCCTAAAAAGTTTCTTCAGTCGTTCTTGCCATCTGTCTGTTCTTTTGCCACACCTGCCTGCTGTCTGTCTCGGGGAAGTGGGAGACAGGCAGTCAGACAAAAAAGAGAGAGAAGGACACAGGGAGAGAGAAAGGGTGAAGATGTAGAAGAGAGCAGCTGGTTGGCAGCACTTTGCATCCTGTAGATAGCTCATGAATACCAAGGATGAAACCCTGAATATCTGTAAGAATGAGAGATGCAATGCTTGAACCTGTGGGTGGATGGATTTACATTGTTATAAGGAACAAATACAACATGGATTTGTTGCTTTGATGCTCCATCTAAGCCACATGAATGTTTTTACAGTATTCATAGGATTCAAACTCTTTTAAATTATTTTTTTCTCAAATATACCAATACACATTAGCTATAAAAGCAGAAACAAAAACCAAAATCTGTCACTTACCCCTAGAATAACTGGTAGTAAAAACACCCAATTAATCATTAAAGTGAAGTCTGATCTATGCTGTGTATGAAATGGAAAAGTCTTATTCTAAGATGTCCATTACTTTCAAGCAGCATACTTTAAGTATCTTGAATAGTTTATATTTTGGCTTTTATAGCTCTTTAAGACATTATTGAAAATCTTCACTTGGATAAACTAAAGAAAGTCAGAAACTATAATTCTGTAACTTTTAGATGTGTATCCACTTTAATTAACACAAACCATTACATATTAAGGTCAGTAGTCGGATACTGTATAATGCTATTGCCTGGTTAAGAAGTTATTTAGTAATATAATCCAGGAGTTTTTTGGTTTTTTTGTTCTATTCATTAAGGACTGAAATTTTAGTCCCTTGCAAAGAGCTAATCCGAAAACCACCACTACTGTATTAAAACCATTACAGTTTCAATTAAAATGTTTCACTAAAGAATCGTCATATACATCAACATTGGGTGATACATGTGAAAATTTCTCACTTTATAATTATTAATCCTATTATTTCAAAGTTAGTGACAATCTTTGATTTTAATTTGTAACTAACACACACCAGAAACCTTCAGTATCTGGAACAGCAATAATCCCATAGACTCTTCTTGGCAATCTTTCACAGCTTTCCTATTTTACCCAAAGAGCTTCTTTTGTAAAACGCAATGGAAGAACGACCACTCTTATTTTCCAGACCACAGCTAAGGCAGAAACACATTCAGAGGAATTATTTCAGTGGCAGCAAACTAAAAATGTGAAGAAATAAGCCGATGAGGAAAATATAATACATTTTCAATGAAACTCACAGTTTTCAAAAATTGTAGGTGTATGGCAAGACATTGGCCAAATACATTTCAATTTTTTATGTTAATTTATTTCAAATAAATTTGAAATTAAATAATTTGGGTATTTACTGCAAATATTGCTGTCAAGCACAATTTGTGATAAGGAATGGAACGAATAACTATTCCCCATAACGATAGAATAGTATTCATTCTGCATGTAATGGCAATATAGCCACTACAATTAAATGGGATGTTGAGTATAGAGTTAGGAGAGGAGACAGCTACATTTATGTACCAATTATGAGCCCATTTTGGTATAAATAGTGAAACAGCTCTTTTGCTTAAAACCAGTTTGAGAGTTAGAAATGATATGCTAACGTAAAGTTCTCTTAAAAAAGAAAACAGCATAATAACATTGAACAGTTAACATGACATGATTTAACGATTAAGAAATAAGTAGATTTGAACAATATTTCAGTTTAATAAGTGTTCTAAATGTGGAGTTAAAAATGGAAATCTGAAAAATGTATAAACAATTTCATCAATAGAAATCTTTGCTGTGCCAAAATCTATTTTTCGACTCTATTTTTTGACTCATTTTATGAAACCTTCCAGTTGCTCCAATTTGCCATTGTGGTTAAAAGCTAATTCCATTGGCAAATTTCTCGGGTTAAATAAACAATATTCTAAAAATGGAATACCGGTAGCATTTTTCCAACAATGATTAAAGATTGTATTGGAACCTTGAAAATTAATTCTCTCTGGATAAGAAATATATTGACAATTTAATGTTTGATTATAGAATACCATAATATATCTATTAAAAAAGATTTCTGTCTGATAATTAGGTTTGAGTCTTATCAAGTCTAATTCCTCATAAATAATGGGAAACAGCTGCAAAATCTTGGATTATTGAATAAATCACATTTAGATTCAGACATTATAAGATCCCTTTGATTTTTAAATGAAAATCCAAAGGGTAGAAAATACCAATTCCCAAATTAGGTAACTGAGACGGTATTTAAAAAAGGTCAGAAAACTTTTCAGACATAAGAATGCAAATGAGATAAATATAACTATATAGTTGTATATACATAAATAAAATCTAATTTATGTATTCATTAAACCATCTTGCAAAAAAGGAAAAGACCTAGATAGATGTCCACCATGTGATGTTTCAAGACGATGCCTAACTAAAAGAAAACTGTCATTAAAATGAATAAATGATTTAAAAAAAACATTGGGAAGATAAATTAAATAATAATAATTAACAAATCTCGAGTAATAAAATAGATAGAAGAGATAACAAGCTTACAAAACCAATATAGAGATTGATAGAAACATATTTTTCTCTATATCTGATTAAATAACTCTCCTATTTTTCCTGTTTAAGCATGGCTTTGTTGCCTTTTCTGTAGCAAAGACTGCATTGGTTGCAAGATCTGACTGCCTGCCTCTTCAGAAATTCAATTTGTGGATGTCTTGTGTCAGTCACCTAATTGTTTCTCCAAGCGCAGCTTCTGAAGTGAAAAACTACTCCCCGTAAAATAGGCTTTTGGTTCTCCAGCCTGCTTTAAAAAAAAGGTCTAACAAAAGATGAGCAACAATAGACAATAGGATAGACACAAATTCAGCAACTATTGCTAACTTCATTAGCACAAGGGTAAATAAGAAAGGAAGTAAATAATAAATGGCATAGATGTATATCTGCACTGACACCTCTCTAATTGAAAAGGTGAAAAGCTGAATTTTTAAACCAGCCCTATGTTTAAAGTTGTGAATGTATGTCCTTGTCCCTTCATTTTCCCCTTAAAACATCTGGTTTTAAGGGGGAGGTCCTATGTTTTTCATATTTAAAAACACAGCCAAGCACCCATACATATGTATAAGATCAATTTCCCAACAGTGCAACCACATTCCATCACTTTCTCTTTCTACTAGTTTCAATTTAGCTTCCGAAAACTTCCTAAAATGCCATCCTTTCAAATGTGTGTCAGGTATTTATATAAATGCCTTCCTGGAATGAAATTACTTATCACCCAGGTGCAGTGGAGCTTACTAAATTCATTAGATCAAACTCTAAAGGTCAAGTAAAACACGCTCCTTCAGACCTAGTCTAAGCAGCATAATTCAATCTCCCAGTATCTGTGTGATGAAATGTAACAAATGAACATGGATAATTTGGTTTTTAGTACATAAGCATGCGAGATATCCATTTAATGGGGTAAGTGATACCATGCAGAATACAGAATGTTACAAGTAAGTCTAATTGTTATTTCTGAACCTTCTTAGTGACATTTGTGCATCACATACCATGATTACACCTTTAAGCACATCCCTTCTGACATTATTTTTAGTTATACTAGCTTATACTGTAGGTGTTCAGTCCAAGCACCAAAACATGATGCAGAAACAAATAATTCCAATAATTAAGAGAGCAACATTACATAAAGAAAGTCAGATGTTGCTTAAGTAATGTTTGCTTTACTAACACCCCTTCGCAGCAGGTGGAAGAGATGAAAACATGTAAAATCTGAAACCATGTGGATGATCTTTGCAGATTCTTAGAGTGGTCTTCTGGGATCTCATAATTTAAGATTGCCTCTTGTTGTTTAATTTTGTAGTGGCAAAATATCTGTATCCTTCATCAAGGAGATGGGTAGCAACTTTGGAAGGTTTTCATATGACTGTTATATATACTGTATTAATCAGAGAATATAAAGCAAGACTGGTTAAACTAGCTTTATACCAAAGCAAGAACTTTATAATGCCCACCCCAGGCTGCTACCACTTCAAATGCTAATTCTCTGCCACTTTGCATCCTGTTCTGCAGGGGCTCCGGCTTCAACCAAAGGGATCTCCACAAGCAGCGAAA